CCACGGTGGGCCCAGGTGACGGGTGCCACGGTAGCCCCGAGTGATGGCGTATAGTGTGCCATACGCCAGGAGGATCTCGCATGCATCGAAGTGCCGGTACATCAACTGCCAGGCACGACGAACTGACGTCGGTCTAGAATGCTAAGTCATTGAGTGTGAGGAACCGGAACCTGGAGGACTGGTTCTCTCAAGGAGACATATGTGGCTCGAGGAGCTCCCCAGCCTCTTTAACTGTTGTGGAGTTGAACAATTCAGTGTTGGTATGTGTGTGTGTGTGTGTGTGTGTGTGTGTGTGTGTGTGTGTGTGTGTGTGTGTGTGTGTGTGTGTGTGTGTGTGTGTGTGTGTGTGTGTGTGTGTGTGTGTGTGTGTGTGTGTGTGTGTGTGTGTGTGTGTGAGAGAGAGAGAGTGTGTGAGAGAGTGTGATAGTCGTGTGAGAGGCTCCTACTATGGCATAAGAGTCTGGCCACTCCGTCCATCACCGGCTCTTGCCTTCAGGAACGGCATGTCTCCAGCTGAGACTAACCAGGGGTGGTTATATCTTGAAGTTATCTTGAGATGATTTCGGGGCTTTTTAGTGTCCCTGCGGCCCGGTCCTCGACCAGGCCTCCACCCGCAGGAAGCAGCCCGTGACAGCTGACTAACTCCCAGGTACCTATTTACTGCTAGGTAACAGGGGCATTCAGGGTGAAAGAAACTTTGCCCATTTGTTTCTGCCTCGTGCGGGAATCGAACCCGCGCCACAGAATTACGAGTCCAGTGCGCTATCACCAGGCTACGAGGCTACGAGGCCCCCTACGAGGCTTGTGAAATACAACGTGCGATATAACATCAGATAATAATACAATGCAGTTATAGTATAAGAGGGTAAATATTAGTGTGAAGTTTCTAGCGTTGGAACACTTGTCTCCTTACTCCAACGCGAGCCCCGTCTCTCTCCCAACACTATCCTCTCTTAATGCAACACCCACTAATACTCCATTAGTCCCTTACCTCCCTTTTAAAACACCCTCCCCTCCCTTCACCCCCTTCCCTCACAACCATCTATCCAACTAAAAACTTATATGCTAACTACCTCATTCAGGTGCCAAGAATGGCAGCTTGCATTCGTTAAGTGAGGTCTGGTACATGAGGGAGTCAGGAACACCCGTAGGGCCAGGCTGGGTTATGGTAGTACACACACACACAGGCAACCTTGGTGGTAAATGCGTTACTTATATAGTCAGTCCGTCCTCCCAAGGTTTCCCAACGTCCAGAAAACAGTCAGTGTAAAGTGTCCTCTCCTAACCTACCACAGGACCCAAAACAGGAAACGGGATAGTACAACACTTTCGCGAGCCGCTTCTATTATTTTCTAGTACCACAATTTTTGGCCTTATGTAACGCATACAAGCGATATGCAACGTTCTTAATTATTGGACAGGTTGATTTAGAAGTGTGTGCTTTGCAGGATCGAGGATTAAGCTCTTGGACTCCGCCATATCAACAACCTAATGTATTGACTTAGTGGGTATGGAGGACAGAGTGAAATACAGATTATCCTGAGCATCGCCAGGTGTTCAGGATAGTTCAATATAAAGCAAATTAGTCACTGAATTTGCTTACCTTGAGGTGCTTCCGGGGCTTAGCGTCCCCACGGCCCGGTCGTCGACCAGGCCTCCTGGTTGCTTCCACACATTAATCCTCTACGGTCGCTCGCCGACGTCTCCACCAAGGTCGTGAGAGACTGCGTCAAGCCTTTTCATTCACCTAGTCAAGTCGTGTAGGAGTAAAATAACATAGTTTGGCAGCAGGAGAAACATATGAGAGTGTTATAGTTGCGTGGTGCGTATACAGGTCAGAGGTGAAGTAGGTCAAGGGCAGGTGTTGGCTGCCATCCCTTCCACCCCTCTGTTGGGCGTCGCAGGAAAGATGGGACGGGCGCGGAAAGGCGGAGGAGAGGGGATGGAATATGTAGGGGAATGAGAAAGAGAAATATAGAGAGCAATTAATGAAAAAGTTGGATGAATGGGGTGGGTCATTCGAAAACGGGAGACTGCCTTGTCAGAGAAAACGGGAGTAAAGCCAGGGGGTGCTCGTCAGGAATATATTTAAATTCGCTTCAGAGCGAGGACCGCCCGGTGCTCACCTACAGCTCAAGGATACCAGCAAACAGGGCGACCAAGTTGCGCAAAGAGCCTCGTATCCGCCTCGTCCTGAGTTACGAGGTCTCCCAGTTTTCCTGGTCTAGATCGGACGGGTCATCCTCGCCTTGTGTGAAAGTTGTATTGACACTGGCGTATGGCCCAGTGAACCTGCGCCCTCTGGGGAGGCCGGGGCGTGTGTATTCACCTAATTGTGCTTGCGGGGGTTGAGCTCTGGCTCGTTGGTCCCGCCTCTCATCCGTCAATCAGCAGGTGTACAGGTTCTTGAGCCTACTGGGCTCTATCATATCTACACTTGAAACTGTGTATGGAGTCAGCCTCCACCACATCACTTCCTAATGCATTCCATTTGTCAGCTACTCTGACACTAAAAAAGTTTTTTCTAATATCTCTGTGGCTCATTTGGGCACTCAGTTTCCACCTGTGTCCCCTTGTGCGTGTTCCCCTTGTGTTTGTGCGTGTGTGTGTGAGATAGTGTGTACTCACCTGTTTGTACTAACCTATTTGTGCCTGCTGGATCGAGCATTGACTCTTGGATCCCGCCTTTCGAGCCATCGAAAGCTGCCAAAATGACTCCGGTCCTATTTCTCTATCATATCTACTTTTAAAATTATGAGTAGAGTTTGCTTCCACAACCTGCTCCTTAAGTGCAGTCCATTTTTCCACTACTCTCACGCTAAAAGAAAACTTCCAAATATCTCTGTGACTCATCTGAGTTTCCAGCTTCCACCTATGTCCCCTCGATCTGCTGTTATTCCGTGTGAACATTTCGTCAATTTCCACTCTGTCAATTCCCCTGAGTATTTTATGCGTTCTTATCATATTCTCCCCTCTCCCTTCTTTTTTCTAGTGTCGTAAGGCTCAGTTCCTTCAGGCGCTCTTCATACCCCATCCCTCGTAACGTTGGGACGAGTCTTGTTGCTAACGTCTGAACCTTTTCCAGTTTCCTTACGTGTTTCTTCAGGTGGGGACTCCATGATGGCGCGGCATACTCTAAGACTGGCCTCATGTAGGCAGTGTAAAGCGCCCTAAATGCCTCCTTACTTAAGTTTCTGAAAAATGTTCTAACTTTTCCCGCTGTAAAGTACGCTGCTATCGATATCCTATTTATATGTGCCTCAGGAGTTAGATTAGGTGTTACGTTCACGCCCAGGTCTCTTTCTCGAATCGTCACTGGTAGGCAGTTCCTCAGGTGTGTGTATGTACTCACCTATTTCACCTATTTTTGCTTGGGGGCGTTGAGCTTTGGCTCTTTGGTCCCGCCTCTCAACTGTCAACCGACTGGAGTACAGATTCCTCAGCCTACTGGACTCTATCATATCTACATTTGAAACTGTGTATGGAGTCAGCCTCCACCACATCACTTCCTAATGCATTCCATTTACTAATTACTCTGACACTGAAAAAGTTCTTTCTAATGTCTCTGTGGCTCATTTGGGTACTCATCTTCCACCTGTGTGTGTGTGTGTGTGTGTGTGTGTGTGTGTGTGTGTGTGTGTGTGTGTGTGTGTGTGTGTGTGTGTGTGTGTGTGTGTGTGTGTGTGCTTACCCTGACAATGGTCACGGGGACGCAAGATCCAGCTCTTCATACCCCGCCTACTAGCTTTCATGTACCTGTTTTGATATCATTAAACTTTCCTGATTTTAAAATTCCTTGCTGAACCTGACTTTAAAGTTCTAGGTGAAGGTGGCTTTTGCGACTTTTTCTTTCAGTGCATTCCCCTTGTTGACCACTTGTAAGGGGAACTGGTTTTTTCATACATTTCTTCGACTGATTTGCATTTCCAGCTTCCTCCTATGTCCTCTTGTCCTACTTTTCCTACAATTTAGAACGCTCACTCCTTGTCTGTCTTGTCCCTTCCTCTCTGTGCCTTGTATGTTGTGATCATGTCCTCTCTGCTCAGTCTCCTGCGTTTAACTCTTCACTAATTGTGTTGATTACAGTTGTGAGTTTAGGAAATAATAATGAAATAAGAGAATACACACTGGCACTCGATGTTGTGTTAACGTGGATTCTAACACTGGTACTCACGATGCTGTCCATGTTGATGTCTTGTCTGTGATGGCAGGTCATGCTGATGGCAGGTCATGCTGAACTCTTCACTCTCTGTGAAAGCATCGGTCGTGAACTCTTCCGCTGGTATCTTGGGCTGCTCAGAAAATATATAGCGTGTGACTTATTGCATGACTTGCGACTGGGTCTTAAGAGGCGATAAGGCAAGTTTTATTTGCTGAAGATTTTCCAAGGACCAAAATTCGAAAACTTTAGTTATTTTTTTCTTCGGCAGACTTAAGAACATGAACTTTGCTGGTGTGCTATTGCAACGATCTTATTCAAGACGATACCTGTGGGTCATTTTCTTGCAATAAAATGGAAAGACCACCTGGCTACTGCGAATGGGAGGTATAGCAAGAGTTATCCTCCTGAAGAAACAACGCATCTTTGCTATTATATGAAGAATACTCCAAGGAGGTCGTCTCTCTTTCCATCTCTATCTTTCGAGATTCTTCTCACCAGCCGGAACTGAAAATGTTTGCATAAAACATGATCCGCCCGCGCCATGGACGATTAACTCGACTTAAGATTCACAAGTTGCAACACTTAAGATAGAGTGAGAGATATTTCTGTTGTCTAAGTTAATAGAGAAGAGCGCCCGGCTAATAAAAAATACAGAGATGGGGGTTTCTGCACACACACACACACACACACACACACACACACACACACACACACACACACACACACACACACACACACACACACACACACACACACACACACACACAAGTAATAATCTTATTTTTTTTTAATTTATTCCTTTACCTCTTGAATGATAAAGTTCAGTTTGGTCTGACAAATGGCTATTGAAGTTGATATAAAAATACTGGCTAGTAGTGGTGCCACGGTGGCCAGTAGTGGTGCCACACTGGCTAGTAATGGTGTCATATTGGCTAGTAATGGCACCACAGTGACAAGTAATGGTGCCACAGTGGCTAGTAATGGTGCCACAATGGCTAGTAGTGATGCCACACTGGCTAGTAATGGGGCCATACTGGCTAGTAGTGATGCCACACTGGCTAGTTATGGTGCCACACTGGCTAGTAATGGTGCCACAGTGGCTAGTAGTGGTGCCACAGTGGCTAGTAGCGGTGCCACACTGGCTAGTAGTGGTGCCACACTGGCTAGTAGTGGTGCCACACTGGCTAGTAGTGGTGCCACACTGGCTAGTAACGGTGCCACACCGGCTAGTAACGGTGCCACACTGGCTAGTAACGGTGCAACACTGGCTAGTAACGGTGCCACACTGGCTAGTAACGGTGCCACACTGGCTAGTAGTGGTGCCACACTGGCTAGTAGTGGTGCCACACTGGCTAGTAGTGGTGCCACACTGGCTAGTAGTGGTGCCACACTGGCTAGTAGTGGTGCCACACTGGCTAGTAATGGTGCCACAGGGCCGGTGCCCGGCCCTGTGGATGTTCCAGAGGGGGCCCCTGTGGTGTTGCCTCCTGACCTGTCACCTCCTGTGGTGCCACCCACTGGGTTACCCCCAGCTGTGTTGCCGGCCCCCGTGCAGCTGACCCGTTCCAGGGGGTATGATTGCCCGTCCGAAGGGTGTCGTCCCGATTGAGGATCTGACTGCTTTTTTTTACTACTCCCCGGCCGCCCGTCATGTGGGAGCGGGTGGCGCCGCTTCCCCTTTGCCCAAATACTATTTGGGTTCCTCGTGTGCGTACCTTCGTGTCCGAGGTTCCGGATATTATGGTGCACCCTTCTGAGCGTTATCCTCATGATGAGCAGCCTGAGATGTGACTGCGGAAGTGTTCGAACGTCAACAGTTGTGAGTCGTGTGTAAACCGTTTTTCATTCATAAACAGGGGGTTTGGTGGGTGCATGGAATCACTTTTGGGTTGAAACCGAAACTGAAATCGGTTTCAACCCTTTTATCCTGTCGTAGCTCAGTCGATTAAGGCAGTGTCTGGGATGCTCCCGGACGCAGGTTCGAATCCTCGTCACGGCCCTTGTGGATTTGTTCACTTTTGGGTCTTTGTTTGGAGGACGGGCTGCATTAGCATCGTGGAATCGATTCATATTGCTAATATGAGCCGCGAGTCAGGCAACTCTGAGTCCTCAACTCTTTTGTTTACATATTATTTTCGTCTTCGGGAAGGTGGTTGTCAGGTCTTTCATATCTTTTGACAAAGATAAGTCTTGGAGATATGGCGAATAAGTCTTGGACTTATTAGAATATATAAATATTGTTTAACAACTTTAAACGTTTGCACGTATAGAAAAATAAAGATTACATCTATTATCTTGTGATATTTGTCCTCATTAGTAACGTGTTTTTATATACCTACTATATAGATGCCACACTTGTGACAGGTAAAAACATTCTTTTTTGGAAAAACAGCACCATTTGTTGCACGTAAAAGCAACACATGCTATACTAAATATGTTATGATTCCATTTCAATCTTTTCCAATTGCATTGATAAAATAAATTTTCATAGATTTCGATTTATTTTCATTTTGATTGAATTATTTTGTGTGACATTGCGTTGGAATTGAGCTGTGTTGTTTACCATACCGTTCATCTCTTGAGTATAGTTTATTTTTTATTTTATCGTTGTTTTTCATTTCGTTTTTTTTAACTGTTCTTATTTTTCAGTGATGGGAACATCAGATCATTTGGGAACACATCGGACGAGGGAGGGGTGGGGGGGGGGGGAAATGGTGGGGGAGAACGAGGAAGGGGGGGAATGGTGGGGGATAACGAGGAGACGGGAGTGGGAAATGGTGGGGAGGACGAGGGGACAGGGGAGAGGGAAATGGTGGGGAGGACAAGGGGGACGGGGGAGTGGGGGCTGGTTGGGAGGACGTGGGGACGGGGGCAGTGTAGAATAGTGGGGAGGACAAGGGGACAGGGGAGTTGCACGTCGCTGTGGCTCAGCAACATGCATGCATTGCTGAGCCACAGCAACGCGTGGCCGGGTACAGCTAGTTACAAATAAATTCAGATGAAAAAAAAGAGTAATTTACATACGAACATGAAACTAATGTCCCCGTTCTGTAACGGACTTCCCAAAAATCCTCAAAGAACAGAACAGAATGCCTATACGATATTTAGGAAATGAAAACATATATTTTGTAAATTTGATTGGTTTTAATACCAATTGTAAATACGTATGTTAAGAGAATATCAACTCTAGCCTACCACCCACGGACTCAGGAGCAAGCAGGCGCCCTAACAGAGCCAGTATATCTTTCGAGCGTTGACCCGTGATGACCTACCCTGGACAAAGAGAATCCCTTTACGAGCGTTTATCTCAGCCAATTAAACACCTGGCCTGCAGTTGAGCCATGACCTTTGACGTCATAACGCAATCCGTGACTTTAGGAAGTGGTTATGGCGAGATTTGTTGGCTATCGGGAGGAAATTATCTGGGGGAAGAACCAAGCTATTACGACTATATAGCACTTGGAAGTGGTCAGGATAAGGATTTCGGCTAAGACGGGAGGGAATGGAATGGTGCCCAACGCCTTGGACAGTCGGGGATTCTACGCCGACCTGCATGAAGCAAATCCGTCGTCCTACCATTTGCTGTTTTAGATTCAGCTACTCGGAACAAAAAGTTCCAAGCAGCACGGGCTATGCTGCAAACCCGTCCTCACACTAGGCTGTTTCAAGCAGCGGCCATCCTCCCCAGACGCATTCATCAATTTTAACATACTGTGTATTAAAATTGGGTTTGTTCTCATATATAAATTAATATTATTATACATAAAAATTCTATTAGGCGTGAGTTAGGTTAGGTTAGGTGTTTAGGTTCAGTTGGTGATTATTTGTATTTGAAGTACGCGGGTGAAGCATTTATAGAATTGTGGTTCGAACAGGGAACGTGAACGAAGCACTTGTTTCGGAAGTGTTCGGGAGTCGTCAGTGTCGAGTCGTGTGTAAACCACTTTTCATTAAAAACACAGGGGGTTTGGCGGCTGGATTAACGAGCTTGGATCTTTTCTTGCGAGTACGGGCTGTCTGGTGCAGCCCGTCCTCTCATACAAAGATCGTTCGTAGTCCTAAGGATCCAGGTTCGATTCCCGGTCGAGGTGGAATCAAATGGGCAGAGTTCTGTTCACCCTGATGCCTCTATTCACCTAGCAGTAAATAGGTACCTGGGAGGTAGATAGCTGCTACGGGCTGCTTAATGGGGATGTGTGCTAGAGAGAAATATATGTAGTAGATATACAAGAGAAAGAAATAGATTGGTTAGAAAGGCGGAATCCAAGAGCCTAGAGCAGCAAGTTTTTTCTTTCAGCACCTCAGTGTCGCGGTCCAAAGGGGTAATGCCCGCTGCGTCCTCGGTTCCTGCCCAGCGTCGGAGGAGTTCGAAGAAATCTACAGCCTCTAGGAAACAAGCTTCCTCTTATGTTCTCTTAATGTTAATTTTTTGGTAAACAGTCATATATGTAACTGTATAACCTTGCATAATAAAGTGTAAAAAAAAAGTGGGTGATAGGAGAAGTGAACACTCATACGTATTCAGAATTAAATGGCAAGTTTTTCTCTGAATGTCTTGTGTTGCCTTCTTTGAGGCAATCGTATCGTATCGTAATCGGATCGTATAGGCAATAGCTCAATTCTGCAGACACAAATAGTAAATAGTAAAATACACACACACACACACATACTCCACCTCGTTAATACACCGACAACTAGAAGCGACGAATATCTCATACAGGAGGCATTGGATAACAGCTGAGGTATCCGCCTTATCTGAGCAGTAAATATCTACGACTGAAATGATCCTGTTATCTGGACGTCCGGATACGTAATTTGATGCTCTCATGCCAGAAAGAAGTGAGGACATTTGTCTTGCTAATACTTAAAGAGGAGAGGGTGAGAAGAGTGTGTTCTTATCTCTCCTTCTCATCCTTCCTGTTTTATTTTATTGTGTTGTTTATTCTCTATTTCCCTGTCTCCTTCCTTTCAAATATTTGTGAAAATAACTAAATTGGCTTCTTATACATTAAGAAAAACTGTTTACTTGGCTTGCTTTGATTTAGTATGTTAAAAAATAAAATTGTAATGGGTTAACAATAATTAAAAACAAATTTAATACAGTAAAAATGTAATTTTTAATGCTCTCGCGCGTTGTATGCTTGCTCCAGAGAGCTAGTTCTGGAGCATAGATGCAAACCTCAGGAAGCAATAATCAAAACTCAAACCAAACCATCTACCCTTTCTTTCTCAGTGGAAAATAAGGCTAAGTTCAGTTTTCCATGAAAGATCTCATTTGTGAGTTTTGAGATGTTAAACACCCTTAGGATCTGGTAATGAGAGACTTAGACGAGAGAAGCTAATTATCTAGCAGGAAGTACTCGTAACATCTGTCGTATGGCATATAATAATACAGTATGTCATATAATGACATACGGTAATAACTTATAATGCTAAGAATCTTACCTCCACGTGTACATAGCGTATGACTTATACGCTATGGTATTCGTGCCTTGACTTGGATGGGGAAGGGGGGAATAGGATTTATATTTGATGCCTTCGTAAAGTATACATAGGGTACTCTACCCTAGGGAATAGTACTACCCTGGGGTACACTACCCTGAGGTACAGTACCTTTAGATACTTTATCCTGAGGTAAACTATCCTTGGGTACAGTACTCTGAGGTACAGTACCTTGGAGTACATTACCCTGAGATACAATACCTTGAGGTGCAGTACCCTGAGGTAAACTACCCTGGGGTACAGTACCTTTGGGAAAACTACCCTGAGATACAGTACCTTGAGGAACACTGCTCTGAGGTACAGTACCCTGGGATACAGTACCTTGAGGAACACTGCCCTGAGATACAGTACCCTGGGATACAGTACCTTGAGGAACACTACCCTGGGGTACAGTACCCTGGGATACAGTACCTTGAGGAACACTGCCCTGAGGTACAGTACCTTGAGGAACACTACCCTGGGGTACAGTACCTTGAGGAACACTACCCTGAGATACAGTACCCTGAGATAAGGTACCTTGTGGTACACTACAGCGAGGTACACTTGCGTTTATGATGTGTTCGTGTGAGAAACCATAGTTGATGGCAGTCTTGTGTGTTCTGTTACTTATAATTTTTTCGATGAATTTTGTCTATTATATTTAGATGAATTTATTACATATATATAGATTTTCATACATTTAAATTTGTTACAATTCCCTAGAAGACTCGCTATGTAAAACTTTAATTTTTAGGTATCATTTGTTTTCACATTCTTTATGAACCCTGTAATATTTTAAATAAATGTTTACGCATAGATTAATTTGCGTTTTCACTATAGTCAGCATACAATCGTCATAAGATACCGCTTAGAAACACCCGTCAACGCTAAGCATAAAGCAACACAGGCAACAGAATTCACAAGGCAACGCAAACCGGCATTTAAAAACATTAAGCAACACAAGCAAACTATCATTAACTTCAGGAGAAGAGGTCAGGTCAGGAGGACATTTACGAGGGCGAGTTATGCTCTTGAGTTGTAAATCACCTGTTTTTCTGCAGGATGATCCGGTAAGCCTTGGCTCTTCTTGGTGAGAGGAAGCTGCCACACACACACACTCAAGGTTTT